CCCCCAAAACCCCAAAACCCCATAATTTGATTATTTTAAAAATAATAGGAAAAAGAAATTGAAAAAAAGCAGTACTATTGGTGCAATAAAGTATATAAAAGAAGTAATTTAATGATTAGATTATCAAAATATAAATTGAATATATGGGATGCTAAGAGTCTACTCCTAGTAATTAGGAAAACAAAATTGAAAAATTTACTCAAAGAGATTAAATTTTTGCTATCCAGAATATTGAAAATAAATCATACGATAGAGCATATGTAAGATTTTACAATTAAAATATGTAAGGGTAGTGTAATTGGAGCTTATGTCGGAGATGCAGCTGGAGGAGTTTTGGAGTTTATGAGGTCGATTACTAGAAACTAGGTTTTAAATGCACTTACTTTTCCTGGTGGAGGGGCAATGAGACTTGGCTAAGGCTAAATTACAGATGACTCTGAAATGGCTTAATGTATACTATATGGCATTTTAGAGCAATAAAGAATTTCGAAAACTAAAAATTTAGTTTTAGATTTAGATAACATAACTAAATATTATGGAACATGGATGAGATGCGCTTTTGGTAAGAATATTATTAATTGTTATTCATTTCTGATAGATATTGGAAACACAACTAGAAATGCTCTTAAAGTAATAGATCCGGAAAATCCATCACCTTTGGATGTATTTCATAATGTAGCTACAAATTCAACAAGTCATTCAACTAGTAATGGATGCCTTATGAGAATTACACCTTAAGCAGTGTGGGGACATAATCTAAGTAATTAAGATTTAAAAATTGCAGTAGAGCTGTAGACTAATCTCACTCATTCAGTTCCTAAGGTAGTTGATGCTTGCTATATATATTGTTTAGCAATAAAGCATCTCATTCACTATCCAGGTGATGCAAGAGGTGCTTACAACTTTGCTAAATAAGAGTCTACAAAAATTCTAAGTTGGTTTGAGAATATTGAGATTGAAAACCTTCCTAATCCACAAAAAAATATCGGGCAAAGTGAAATCGCATTTTCTTATGCATTTTATTACTTAAGGAAAGTCATAACATAATAAGATCTAAGCTTTGAAAAGATTATGGAAGATACTCTATTTCTTGGAGGAGATACAGATACAAATGCAGCTATTGTTGGAGGACTATTAGGAGCGTATTTCGGTGTGAAGAGAATACCTACTAATTGGATCAACAGTATTCTAAATTTTGATAAAACAAAAAATGACCGTTCTCAAATTGGTCAATAAAATTCAGGTATTGCAAGACCTTAATTTCTAATACCAAAGCACAATCTGATTAATGATTTAGATATTTTGGTGAAAAATGCTCCAACTAAACTTTCAGTAAAGTATATGGGAAGAATTTACACAAATCAAGACTCTATTAAAAATATTTTAAATGAAGCAAGAAACCAAAGGATAGCACAAATTGTCTGAATCTTTATAAATATAATCTTAATTTAATAAATGCTATTGAAAATGCTTCATTAGAATAGCATTCATGGGGTTTTGGGGTTTTGGGGAGATCGGAAGAGCACACGTCTGAA